TGTTTGCCGTGGGTTCAACCTCTACATCTTCAAGGGTACAATGAGTTTATTTTGAGGCAGTTCAAACTAGTTTGCGGGTGGCATCTCTAGATATCATCGTAGTTCATTTGTTTAAGCTGAGTTAGCCAAGAGGATGACACTCAACTTAGATAGATTAACTTGGTATGTCCCCCACATCAAAAGTTTACTTCTTGCTAGCTCTTTATAAGGACTTATATCTTAGTGTGGTTTTTTTCCAAGGACTTGGCACTACTACAGAAAAATTTAACCGTGGCGGGCAAATAGTATTAACCGAGGCGTTTTTTCGAACTGCCTCGGTGGAAAGGTCACGGTTAATCGTGGCTTTACCGAGGCGGTTCAATTGCCAGACTCGTTTAATCAAATAAAAAAAAAAAAAGAAAAGCCCGTGGATAAGCCCAGTGAGCCCACCCACAGAACGCCAAGCCCATCCACGCGTCGTACCGCCGCTCGCCGGATCCGCACCGCTGTTGCTGGAGGAGGTCGCCCGCTCGCCGGATCCGCCCGCTGCTCGCCAAATCCGGCCACCACGGGCGCGGATCCGGCCTCCAGAAGCCGGATCTCGCCCTCCACCACTGCCACCGAGAGAAGTGGGGGAGAGAAGAGGGTGAGGCACGCCGCCGCCGGCCCAGTGCGCCACCGTGGGGCCCGCCGCTGTCGGACTGGGGAGCGGTGCCTGGGGAGTGGATCCACCGCCGCCGCCACCGAGAGAAGTGAGGGAGAGAAAAGAGTGCCGGATCCACGCCGTGGTACCTCCATCCTGCCGGAGGCCACCTCTCCGCCGGATCCGCGATGCCACCCGCCGGTGTAGCCAAGGAGGTAGGGGAGGAGGGCGGATCAGCGCTGCCACCCGCTGCTGCTGCTGCTCCGCGCCGTCGGGTGTGGCCGAGCCGCCCTACGCCCTGCCCTACGCTAGATCCGGGAGGAGCCACCGCCGAGAGGCGGGCCCGTGCTCGTGGCAACCGCGCGACGCCGCCGATAGCCGTCGTGGGGGAGAGTGGAGGAGAGAGGGAGGGTTTGGGAGGGAGCCGCCCGGAAGGGAGGGGAGGGGGCGCGTCAGGCGCCGCGCGCGACTTCATGAGGAGTGCGCGTCGGGCTGTGGAGGAGACCGGAGGGAGAGAGGAGTGCGGCTGACGAGGGAGTGAGGAGCTGAGGCTGAAAACCCTAGTCTGGTGTATATGTGTGTGTGTGTGTGTGCGCGCGCGTGTGTGTGTGTTCAAAACTGAGCCTCTTGGGCTAGCGGGTTGGGCTTGATTTTTCGAGGCGGTTATTTTACAATGCCCGCCTCGGTTCGGTTGCTGCCTGGCTGCCCTGTCTCGAATAACGGAGGCGGACAACCGTGCCGCCCGCCTCGGAGCCCCAAACTGAACGCTACGAAAAAGATTTTTCGTAGTAGTGTGATTAGGTGTGATAGATCTAATGACTTCTTAGATTGCTTTGTAGAAGAACTTAAGTGTCAAGATGCTTAGGGGATTTAAAGTTTGCATAATACTAAAATTGTTGCTTTAAATTTTTGTAGTCCAATTCACCCTTCTCTTGGACCATTCGGTCTTACAAACGTTCGGTTACATGTATGTAAATAGTAAATGAAGAATGTTCATAAGTTCATGGTCTATGCCCTGTTCGCTTGGCTGATAAGACATGACTGAAAATATTGTTGGCTGATTTGTTGTGAGAGAAAAATACTATTCGTTGGCTGAAAAAGTATGGCTTATAAGCCAAACGAACATGGCGTTAGTCGATGAATTGCACACGAATCTCACCTAAATGATTGAATGTGATCAAATAACGGTTCCAAACGGTGTGGTCAGTGGCGGATCCAACGGTGGGGAGGGGGGGGGGGGGGCTCGGAGGTGGAGCCCTCGAGCTCCCATGAATTTTTAGATAAAGTTCTATGGTGTAGGTGGGGTTGAGACTTAAGATCGAGCAGTAGTCGCAAGTATGTTGCTGTCGCACTTTTATTTAACCCTCTTAAAATTTTTCATGGATCCGCCGCTGGGTGTCGTTAAATTCTTGGTCCTGATAAACATAAAAAAAAGAAAGTACTAGTAGAACACAACGCCATGGGACTTGATTGTACTTGTAGGGACACCTCTAGGCTTTGAAAGTGCAGATATATCCGCATGCGTACCCCATGGGCCGGGTTGCATCTTTTCATTATTCTCTTTTATTTAACCAGAATTGTTCTTATTCGAGCCTTTTTTTTTCTCTTTTCTGGTGAACATTTCTGTTCCTTATATAATAAGGCCATGCATATCTCGCGTTCGCGTACAAGTACGTAAAAGATTATCTAGGCATATTTTATACACACTAATAATAAAGCAAAGAGGCATCCGCTCCGTTCGTTTGGCTTATAAGTCGTATTTTTTCAGCCAACGAATAATATTTTTTTCTCTTACAACAAATTAACCAACAATACAAGCGAATAGGACAATCATTTTCGGCCCCAAACTACACTCTTGTCGTTTCAAAACACTTTGGCTTTACTACACGTTTAGAAAGAAAAACAGCCTTTGGCAGCATCTTTCGTAGGCTGCAACGTTGGAGCTCTGTGGTTTTAGTTTATAGAAGGCTGCAGTTTGTTGGATCTTCAGTTCGTTGCAACCTGGAACCTACTGATGTCTCCTTCCCGTGTGCTGCAGGCTTCTAGAAGCTCGATCGGTTTCTTGTGACGACACGATGGAGACGACGAGGTAGAGGCCAGCCAGAGCGACTGCGTAGCGTAGTAATAACCAGAAGCTGTACTTAATTAGTAGAGTAATTAATAATTAATGGGTTGCTGGACCGATGAATTCAGAAAACCAGCGCAGGTGGTAGCTATACAGAAACAAAAACAAAAATAGATCTCCATGCCATCCAACCGGCCAATCCTGTGGACGGAGGAACAACAGATCACCTGACATGCATCAGATCAGACTTGCTTTTCTGTAGCTTCCTTGTTCCTTCCTCCCCTCCCCCATCATCTCTCGCTCGGTACTCGCCTGGTGGTCAAGCATATTCATATTTCATTGTTCTTAATCAATCCCTTTTGGAGTTCCTGTGCCTTGTAAGACACCTCCTATTTATGTCACCGGGCAAACGCACGACCTTTGTATCTTTCACGGTTGGGGTTGGGTTGGGTTTAGTCCTTCTCCGGTTTAATGACGACCGATGCCCTAGCTATCCATCCATCCTGCTAAACAAAGAAACAAGCAAGCAAACCAGAGCGCAGCACGTCGCACAAACAACAGGTTGGTGTACCGGCCAAATGCTCCTGCCGATCTCAGCTCGCTCTCTGGAGCCTGGACTTGCGGGGCTGCCGACAGCAAGATTCTAGCGGGACAAGACAACGATCCGTCCGCGGTCCGCCGGGAGAAATTAGAGCAGCGCGATGATGGAATGGACCGGAAGACACCGATGATTTCCTGGCCGGATCGAGAAAGCCCGGTTCATGGACTGGACCGGTTCCATTTCTTGCGGCTGCTGCTGCCCATGTTAATTATTCACAAGTCGGTCTTCAAAATCTCAATGCAGAGATAAGCGCACACAGACAGACGACATTGCCTGGCATCGAAAAATATCCTTGTATTGTATCACAAGCAAATCTCAGAAAATACCCAGGCACAGAAGAAGCACGAGAAAAAGTCTAAACGCTGGCTGCAATAATCCGCAAGATAAGATAATTGTAATGCGGAAAATGGTCGTTTAATAGGAGCAGTATCAATCTGTACGATCACATCCGGATTCCGGAGACCTTGTCATGGGCGGGCCGCGGGGGCGGCGACTGTGCAGCCGGAGGAGGTCATGGCGGCACAGCTAAAAAACAAACAGCATGTTTATTTGGCTGGTGTTTATCATAAATAATCGTAAATTTTCAACCGGAACGGTATTTTTCTTTCATATAAACCAGCCAGCAGTAATATTTTTTACAAACCAGCAACAAAACGAACCAACCAACCGAACAGGCCGGTTACCACCACAGGTTAGCAATTGGACGATTCACCACCCATAGTTTACGAGCAGCCAAAGGCCCACTTGTTCTACACAGGCCAGTGTCACTGTCACCCTTTAATCCGCAGCCTGCGTCGTCCATTTGCTCCCAAACGGAAACATCACAGGGTTTTTTTTTCAGCTCCGTCCTCCTCCTCGTAATCGTCTACACGCTGTGCACCACCAAAAGATCAGCCCAGGCATCCTTCTAGGTAGATTCACAGACATGTAAAAAAAAAAATGTTTCAGTCACATCCGTAGGTTGCAAACTTTTCATTTTTGTTTTCTTTTTCCACCTCTACGAGGAGTCCACCTCTTTCTAGAAAAAAAAAGTCTTCCAAAAAGGTTAGCAACTTTTAACTTTAACTAAATATATTTAATAAAATATTAATATTTATGATACATAATTAATATCATTAGGTAGATCATTGAATATACTTTTATAATAAATTTAATTGGAGATATAAATGATGCATGTATTTTCTATAAACTTAGTTAAAATTGAAAAAATTTGACCAGCATAATTATCGAGATATAAATGTAACATTTGCATCGTAGTTTTTCTATAAACTTGGTAATAATTATCCAAACGTTGACTAATTGAAAACGTTTTGAGAAAGTACAACTAATAATTATTGATTTAGCAACTATTTTTAAGACTTCTTTTTTGCGTAGTAAAATTGCGAGGGTAAACAGGCCCTTAGTAGCATAAAGATGCAAACTTTTCCACAATGAATGAATGAACAGAAAAGGCAAAGATCATCAAAACCCGGCCAGAAAACCCCAGCTTTATCAGACCCATTTGCCGGTTTTTATATTGGCTTCGCTGTGCGTTCGGTCCAATAATGCAGCGCCACGTCGCACGGGCACCTCTCTATTTATAATCCCCCATCCGCCGCTCTGCGAGGCCGCACACATCCCACCCCCTCATCTCATCCCGGAATCGAGTTCGAGAGAGAGAGGAGAGAACAAGAGATAAGCTCAGCTCACACGCAAGCCGAAAGAAACCCAAGATGCGGAGCCCAAGGGGAGGAGGAGGAGGCGTCGGCGGCTGCTACCGCGGCGGCGCCGGCGGCCAGGAGCAGCACGTGGACCTGATCCCGGGCATCCCCGACGACGTGGCGGTGGACTGCCTGGCGCGCGTCCCGCACGCCTCCCACCGCGCCATGCGCCGGGTCTGCCGGGGCTGGCGGAGCGCCGCCGCAACGCCCGCCTTCGCCTCCGCGCGCGCGCAGGCGGGCGCCAACGAGGACCTCGTCTACCTCATGCAGTTCGGGAACCCGTCCGCCGCCGACGCCGACGCCGAACCCAAGGACGACGACGGGCCCGCCAACACGCCGGCGTACGGCGTCGCGGTGTACAACGTGACGACCGGCGAGTGGCGCCGGGAGCGCGGCGCGCCGCCCGTGGTGCCCGTGTTCGCGCAGTGCGCGGCGGTGGGGACGCGCCTCGCCGTGCTCGGCGGCTGGGACCCGCGCACCTTCGAGCCCGTCGCGGACGTGCACGTCCTGGACGCCGCCACCGGGCTGTGGCGCCGGGGCGCGCCGATGCGGTCGGCGCGGTCCTTCTTCGCGTGCGCCGAGGCGGGCGGCAAGATCTACGTGGCCGGCGGGCACGACAAGCACAAGAACGCGCTCAAGACGGCGGAGGCCTACGACGCCTCGGCGGATGCGTGGGACCCGCTCCCCGACATGTCGGAGGAGCGCGACGAGTGCGACGGCATGGCCACCGTGGAGGGCGACCGGTTCCTGGCCGTCAGCGGGTACCGCACGGCGCGGCAGGGCGGGTTCGAGCGCGACGCCGAGTGGTTCGACCCGGCGGCCGGGGCGTGGCGGAGGCTCGAGCGCGTCCGTGCGCCGCCCTCGGCGGCCCACGTCGTTGTGAAAGGGCGCGTCTGGTGCATCGAGGGCAACGCCGTCATGGAGTGGATGGGGACAAGACGCGGGTGGCGCGAGGTCGGGCCGTACCCGCCGGGGCTCAAGGCCGGCACGGCGCGCGCCGTCTGCGTCGGAGGTGGGGAGAAGGTCGTGGTCACGGGCGCGCTTGATGGGGAGGGCGGCGGTGAGCGGCACGCCGTGTGGGTGTTTGACGTCAAGACCAAGAGCTGGACCGTCGTGCGCCCGCCGCCCGAGTTCGCCGGCTTCGTCTTCTCCGTCGCCTCCGTCCGGATCTGAGGATCTGGATCTTGTTCATCCCATCCGTCCGCGATCATGAGACGTAAAGGAAAGGAAAAAGGCTGCTACTAGTACTAGTACGTACTCCTATGTCCGTGCACCGTTTCCGCCATTGCTGGATCTGGTCGAGATCTGCGCCTTATTTTCCATGGATCTGCGCATCTGCCGACGGATTTGACGGTAGTGGGATGAAAGTTGGTGTCAAATACGAATAAGGAACGAAGAAAATTTCGGGGCAAAAAAAAGAAACGACTCATTTTTTTTTGTGTCATAAGAAATTCTCTCTAAAATAAACTGATGTCATGACTGTATTTATATAGGAAGAACATCGTGACAAATATGAATACCTATACATCCAACATTGGTTTATATATAAATCTAAATTTTGAGATACGGGGAGAATTTGGCGTCAACAAAATATAGTTACATCACAAGTAGCATCAAATCATCCTAAAATTTAGTAATGTAACAAACAATAAGAAATTTAAAACAATCCGAGGAAGACTATGTGATTCATTCATTGATGCATTATTCACAAGCCATAAGCTGAGCTGGCAGAGTTATAGGCATACAAATCATCCAACATTGGACTACATGAGAAACCAGGGAGCCAAGTCAACATGAAAACAGTAAAAAATAATGGAGTTTATGCTAACCCTCAAAGCAACCGATGTGCAAAGACTATGTTTCCCTAAGAATCCGTCCCTACGTAGCCATCCACATCTGGGAACAGAAACCTCAACCCTAATGAAGCGGATCGGGAAGTGTGTAGAAAAAATGGGATGAAAAAGATGGGAACGTAACAAAAATGGCACTGCAGGGAGGGCGGAAGTAGGAGAAGGTGACTGATCCGGTGCCATCGAAGGCGGCGTTTGCGGGTCGGATCTGGAAAACGTGCAAAGGACACTGAAGAATTGGCCGCATGTGGAAGCAACGGTGGCGTCGAGGAGGGAAGGCGACGGAGCCAGCTGAAATAGAAGTAGGGAAGCAAGGATTTGTAAACCCTAACAGCAGGGATGGTCACCGACCAACGATTAACGGGAAGGCGTGGAGTGGACTACGTACCCGAAAGGGCGGATCTGCCGCCGTAGGCGATGAAGGGGCTGGATCTGCTTGGCAAGACGGCGATGACGAAGCGGTGACTCAGTGAAGGCGACGCCGAACCAAATCTGGCGAGACGCCTCGTGTGGATGTCGCCTTCCTTCTCAGGCCCAAGGGATGGGAGGATTAGGACGAAGGGCGGCCGGCGGCGATGCGGGATTGGGGGCGCGGGCGAAGAAGTCACCTGGCGGCGGGCGGCATCAACAGCTGGGAGCGGCGGAACCCTAAGCGCGCGAGCGAATGCGAGACGGGAGAGAGAGTGAGGATGGAGGCAGCTGGGTCTTCTAGAGCAGCTGAACGACTGGTGTTCGCCTGGGCCAGGAGGCCCAATCAGCTCCAGCCGGTTTCAGCCACAAAATCGAGCAGCCGAACGGGGCCATGGTTGTATAGAAGCGAAACAAAGAGACAGTGTGCATGGACTTTTGCCAAGAGGTTGAGCTAGGGTGGTGAGATGGATGCATTACACCTCAGCCTGTGGAACGGAAACCGTTCTGGTATTATCTTTTACAGTTGTCTCAAAGTGGCGCATTATATATTTGTTTTTTTCCTTTTCATTATCTATTCAACAGCTATACAGGTACTATATTCGAGACGAGACGACGCTGCTAGAACTAGAAGACGATGGAAATGGAGTCCCTCTGTCGTTCCTGGGCCGTACAGTACGTGTCTCATCACAATCAAAGAGCTAGCGATCAGTAGTCGTCCTACACGCGCCGTCGCTGACCTGCGTGTGACTTGTGAGCTGCTCGCTCCTCCTCCACTGTCTATACTCCTAGCTACTAATCACGAATTAATGGTGCTGCTGACAGAACAGGCCATCCATCCATCCGTAATATTTAAAGTCAAAAGAACCGAGATCTGCTGACAGATCGTCAGATCAAACCGCGCGCGATCGAGAATAACGGAACGGGGGAAGGAAGGGGAACTGAACCACACACACCATTGACGGTTGCGTTGAGTTGCGTCCAGTCCAAGCAGCTTGCATGGGGGGCATGAGGGCATCGCATCGACCTTTCTGCCGTGTGTTAGCTTTCATGTCACCATAGCCATCTTTATTATATAATTATTAATTAATTTGCTCCTCGATGTACCTGATGATGGAGTCGTTAATCGTTATAATTGAATCAATTTCAAAAAGAAGGGAAAAAACACAAATACTCCTGGATCTTTATATATGAAGAGGGAGAGATATGTGAAATGCTTCTAGAAGCAAACGATCTTGATATGGACGGGTCGTGCTTGCATGGTCTTTTCTGTTTCCGCTTGAGACTTACAGTATGGGTAGGGTGTAGGGATAGGCATCAATGGATTAGGCTCCCATTCACCCCCTCTCGTCTCTAGTCATCTATCTCAATCCTTCAATTATGACCACGAAGAAATATTTGAGCTAGTAAACATTTTCAAATGAAAAATAAACTGAAAAATTTTAGAACTTGTCAAATACTACAACTTTGTCTTAGGTCGTCTCTCTATCCGAGGTCGTTGAAAAATAAAAAGAATCAAAATCTAAGAACTTGAAACATAATTTTCGGACCCTAAATGATTTCAAATGAAAATGTTGTCAACGACAAAGTTGTACAACCTCTTCGTCCTCTACAACTTTGATATAAAGTTTTTGCCTTCATTATCATTGATTCTGAAAGGTTATGCTACACCTAATTTTAGAGGTGGGCGACATTGTTAGCTACCACGCTATAGAATGAATCAATTTCTAGAGACGGATGTGCTTTCATTTCTAGAGATAGCTAGAAACAATTGGGCTTCCCAACTGCCTCTAAAAATAGAGGTATTTTTAAATGTGGCTGAAAACGCCAACCATGTCTAGAAATTGATTTATAGAGGTGGTCCATTTATTGGCCCCTGTCTTGAAGAAAGAGTTGTGTCTTAAAATCGTTTTTGAAGTGGTAAGGCAAGACCATGTGCTACTGTATATAAGAATTCAGAAATTCACTGATGCAGAGTTCATCAAACTTCAGCAGATCAATTAACTTTGTATTATCAGGTAACCAAGTTTGGTGTATTGTGTTGCCTGGATTGGCGACGCCAATAAAACAATATAGAATAAACAAGCTAGTTATACAGACAAAATAAAAGCAACGGCCTACCTAAGTCGTTGCATTTTGGCAGTATATGGTTTGTGTTGCCTACTTAAGTCGTTGCATTTTGTTGCGTACTTAGCATTCAGCTGATTTGTACATTTTCCCCGTCTTAACTGATGCACAATTCCGATCCTTAGCATTTGTTTAATCTGGAGACGAAGTGGAGATAACATGGTTCCATGACATGAGGCAAGTAACGACCAATCTCTTTGGATTTTCTAGTGTGCACTAGATTGGTTGTTATTAATTTAACTATCCGTGGTGGGGGCCTAGCTAGGCCTATGTGATGTTTTGCACTATACCCATCAGTGTGTTGTTTATTGCAACTATACTGCTGAAATGTTTCTAGAAGCTAGGTAAACAAGAGATATATATGGTCCTTAATTTGAGCCTCTATCTCAGATTAAGATGTCCCCGGGTGAGTCATCAGGATGCATAAAACCGTGGAAGCTAGCTAGGCTCCGGTCCAGACGTCAGTCCCCTTCAGAGAGACAATTAACATGATTCCTACGTTCGGTCCAGACGTGGCAGTATAACCTGACGTTGCCTACCTGTGATACCGACGTCGCATATATGATTCCACAGTGTTCTTTTTTTTTCCTGGATAACATGCATGATTGCATGGTCAGATTTTCTTCAGCTAGCTAGATTGATTGAATACGTACTCCCTCTCTCTTATAATACAGTACGTTCTAAGAATTTTAAGACAAATTAAGAGAGAATATAAAAGACGTGTGTATTCTCATTTTATTTTCTAATCAGACACTATCATCAACGTGATTAATGATGATTGATTGATAAATGAAAACGTATTTAATGTAAAACTGGATTTTGTCCTCTAGAATGTATTATATTCGAGGATAAATTTTAAATGCTACAATGAACTATATTATAGGACTGAGGGAGTATATTTGAAGGGGCCTGATGCCTGGTGGAGTGCAGTATTCCGGCTATGCATGCAAGCTGAAATGGTTCTAGAAGGAAAACAAAGGGCTAACTGGGTTTATCATCAGGCACGTACTAGCTCGTGCCTGCCTTCGTTCTCAATGCAAGTTGCTTTTTAACTGTACACATGTTATTTGCTTTACATCTCAGCGCGCGTCTAGAGAAACTTTGTGCCTTTTTTTTCTCAAGTTGAGCGGCGCATGCATTTGTCGTGGGGCCCTTGTGTTTGCACGATCGATGGATCGTGCATATGCTCCAACTTCGCTGTCGAAATGCTGCTGCCTTCTAGAATCAAAACTCTAGCTAGTAGGCATGAAGGCATGGATGGACCTTCTTTACCAGCTAGGACGTTGACGGATGGCTCCTTGGACCTTGGATCTTGGTAGTACTAGTACTTGGACCTTTGATCTTGGTAATACTAGTATTTAGCCTTGTTTAGTTGGCGATTATTTTTTGAGAAATGATACTGTAGCATTTTCGTTGTTATTTGGTAATTAATGTCCAATCATAGTCTAAGTAGGCTTAAAAGATTCGTCTCGTGAATTTCATCTAAAATGTGTAATTAGTTTTATTTTTTATTTATATTTAATGCTTCATGCATGCCTCTAAAGATTGATGTGACGGGAAATCTTAAAGAATTTTGCAAAATTTTAAGAACTAAACAGGTACTTTGTCTTGGGAAGATATATAGCTAGGATGACATGAAACGGTTCCATAGGATTTTATGGCCATGTTAGCAATACATCCATATTTTAGAAATAGTGCAGAAGAGTTTTATCCCCACGAAACTCTCTCTACTCCCATAAAACTCTTATCATCTTTCTCTTCATCGATACGGTGTCACATCAACCTATT